CAATCTCTTGAAAAAAGGGGAAACCTTTCTGATTGTTGGATCTGTCTACAGGAGTTGCAACCCTTTAGTCTTCCCCATAGCAAAATCTTCCTTCATCTCCATGACCACCAACCCTACCCACATCTCTCCAGATATTTCTTACAGAGTCAAACTTCTACAACCAGGTTTTCCTGTACTTTTCTTTGAGCTCTCCCCTATCATAACTCTCAGAGCAACTAACCATATTTATTCTGCCTATACGGTTTCCTGTTTACTACGTCAGCTCCCTTGTAATAAAACAAGCCCCCTCTATATACCCTTCAAGAATAAAGTCCACAGAACAGGATAGTTTCTCCCTAATTATTCCCCAAACACTGCTGACACTTGGTTCAAAGGGCCAACTGAATAATCCCAACTAACAGCACTATTAATCAAACTCTCACAGGAGTCTTGCATGCACAACCTGGTTTTATCTGCCTGTGGCAAGTGGGCCATTCATTGCCCAATGTTTACACAGCTGTCAGACTGGAGGCCAATACTTAGCCCATGGACATCCACAATAAATCTGAAGCCTTTTACTCTTCCTCCCATTGGTCTTCTGCATAAAACCTTCATTGCTGCCTTAAATGGGAACTCCCAGGAGTTATACATTACTCGGATTTGCCTCCATCATAAGGGCGCTTATCCCATTGGTGGGTGTTCATGCCAGGGAATGAATGATTAGGAATCTCTCTCTGGGATTGGGAAAACTTGCTGATTCCAGCACTAAGGCAATAGTAGGTCAACAATGATCACATGTCTCATTAAAGTTGTTTTGGATAATCACATAGCCCTTGATTACCTACTTGCTGAACAAGATGTTTATGCAACAGCAAATACCACCTGTTGCATATAGATAAATTCCTCTGGAGAAGTAGAAAACCCCAGAGAGCAAGCATACTGACTACAAAAAATTCTACCTGTCTATGGTCCTTTGATCTTGTTAGCTGGTTGTCTTCAGGTTTGGGCTGATTTAGAATACACAAACGGAGGTCATTATTCTTCCCAACTTACTTAGTATTATTTTTAGGTTTTATACCTGTTACCTATCAAACCTTTGTAGAAACTTTGGTGTACTCTAGAGGGGATCTCCAATATTTAAAATTTCAGTAAAATAAAGACTTTAGATGGGAAATGCCTGAAGAGTTCTCCATCCTACCCTCTCCTTACTCAAATGCTGCCTTAACAGTTTCCAATCTGTGCACTTCCCTCCAATGTGGGACATGACACCTAGAAAGGCCCTTCCTGGCACAGAGGGACAAAAATTATTCTAATAAGGAACAGATGACCCAACTCGTGATCAGCACTGCTTTTAAAGAAAGATCTTTATCAAAGGGTGGAAATGTGAAAATATGTTAAGGAAACCTCAAGTAAAATTGGAGTTGGAAAACCATGAAGAGAGGGCTCTCAAAAACTGACCACTCATCATAACTTGAACAGTCCAGAAGGAAGAAGGAAGATGGCCTTTTGGTGCTAATAGCAAGCTGCCCTTTCCTGCAGCCAATGAGAGGCCACCACCACTTCCAACTATCATTTTCTTCCAATGAACTTTTGTTCAAAATAACCCCTCCAGACTTCCACCTTTCCTCTATAAATTGAAGCTCTCCTCGGTTCTCTGGATTTGCCCTTGGTTCACCAAGGTTTGCTTGTCCCAAATTGCAATTCCTCTGCTATTCTTGAATACACTTGATATTTTCTTTTTGTAATTAAATTTTTTTTAAATTTATTGAATACACTTGATTTTGCTGGCTGAATCACTTACCTTTTTCTTTTAGAAAGTTGACAATCCTTTAAAGTTCATTCATAGACTAGTACACTTGGGTTGCTTACACTAAATATGAATATACCTGTTAAGATCTAAGTTTAACTGAAAACCATTTATTTGGAAGATAAGCATGCCAAATGTTGATCATGTATAAGTAAAATACAATCTTTTTTTTTTTTTCTGCACCAACACAAAAGATTAAGATACTAAGGGGAGCAATCAAGGTATCGAGGAATACTCGATATTCCTGTATCCACTTTACACACTATACTATATCCAGTTTTGTGAATACACTTGTAAGGGTATTTTCAATAATTCCTTATAACATCACAAAAGATGAAAACATATGAGTTTCTTGTAGTCCTTTACATTTCTGAAACTAGTGTTTACATGTTCAGACATGAACATAGATGCATTCACCACCATACAAATGAATATCCATTTTGATATACTTACACAAATATTCATTTACAAATGCATTTAACAGCATGGCATTTGGGATATAGATAATAAAAAGCTAATAATGTTATTTATTGGTTAACTAATAGTTATTTATTAAGTTAGTATTTATTAAATACACATTCAAATTCATGTGATTATTAAGGATGAAGCCAGCTAAGATTCACACCCAGGGACTATCTGCTTGCTCACTCTGAACTCACATGAATCACCATAGTGGCAGTTCTTGAACAGGTCTCACAGGAACATTGAAGAGAAACCAGTATCATCAGTTAGTATTTAAAACAGGGGAAACAAAGCATTTAAGAGGACACGTAGTTATGGTTAAATTGGAAAAGGCAGAGAGGCTTTAAGAGAAGCTTTTACATTTTTTAAATTTCTGAACTTCATTTAGGGGACACGATGAATGTTATAAACACAGTAGCAAGTCATAAAAATCTACTAAGTTATATTATTTTGAATAGTTTTTATAACTTGGTGGAAAGATAAGCAAACAAGGACAATCCTTTCTTCTTTAGAATTCTAAGTAGCCATTGTTTTTAACTGAAAAGACCTGGGGCAAGTGGCCTACAAAGATCCAGGAGGAGGATTAGATAAGAGGGTTAGAGAACAGGGTTTGTCACTGTCAAGTGGTAGGAATAAAGGTTACCTTCTTTCAAACACTAGCTCAGCTATTAAAGTAACATTTGTACTTTGCTTACCTTGTTTTCTGTTATAATCTCCTGCAAGGCAGAGCTCCCTATGGCCCCCTTTTAACTTTTTAGTATCTTAAAATCACCCAGTCATCAGCAAAGTATCTTGCAAATTATATGTTCATTAAATTATTAATTGAAAGAAATATAATACCAATTAGATTGAATGCCTTCTATGTGCTGAGCACTATTCTAGGGACTAAGGATAGAAAAAAGTTATGAAAAAAATGGATGAAAAAAATTTAAATTCTTGCCTCCATGGGACTCACATTCTAGGGAGCAAAATAATATATACTGTCTAATATATTCATTTCAACATTTATCATGGGATCTTCATGTATGTTAAATGATTTTTTTCTCAGAATGCCTTCTCCCTCAACCCTATAGCTAGAAACAGACGGCTACAGTGAAGCAATTTCCTGCTAGGTGGGAACCTCAGAGATGTAAGTGCTGGTGGTTGCAACCACATACAATTTAGAAATGCGTAAAAGACAATGGAAAGTTCAATTTTAATATAAACATATACTATGCTCCCATGATTCTAAAGTCACATTATGAAGTGGATTTCTCAACAATTCACAATCATTTCCTTAAGACTAAGGTCCTTTTAAAACCAAGAGCTCAAAAGAATCAAATATTACATCCAATCATATTAGATAACCAAAGGGAAAGTAAAAATTGTTACACTACTCAAAATTCTAAAGATATAATTTAGTAATTCAATAAAGAGGAAAATATGCACAAGTGGGTTTCTTCTGTTTTCTCTTTTGAATGACAACCTTGGGATTATGTGTTAACATGTTGTCAAAGTATTTTCAAAAGCATTATCTCAAGTTTATTCATCTGAATGGCTTTCTATTATGAATTACTACTTGATTTCACAATGGAAAAATGATCTGTAACCTATTTACAACAAATTCAGCATGAATAAGCATCAATTTAAGGGAACGAAAAGATATCGTAGGTACTTCTCAGAGACATTCCCGTCATTCTGTTTTGTTTTGTTTTTTTTTTTTTCCCTGAAAATCCCAGTTAAATTGACCTCCATGGCTACCAGAGTTATTTCTGGCCATTGTGCCTTTTCCCTTATACTCAAAATTTCACTCCTATTCTCCAGGTACTACAGTACATAGGTACCCTTTCTAACCTTTAATAATGAATTTTGTTGTTGGCAATTATTAGGAAATTGACAAGATGTAAAAGTAGCAAACGAGAGGAGAAAGAACTGAAGTTAAAAATTAAAGATCTCACAATAAAAATTATCCCAATAATTTATGCAAAAATAGACAAAGTTCCATTAGCTCTTCTATTGGTCATTCTTTCTACTAATTCTAGTCTTATAGACAGCCTCCTATTTCCTAATCTCTTACTATTCAGTAAGACTATTGCATTTTGGTTTTTCTTACGCAATGAAGTTTCTACTCCACAACCTTTCCTATTTCTCAGAGACACAGGTCCGTAGAGATGGTTAACCCGGCTTTCGGGAAGGTACTCATCTACAACTTAGAATAAACTCCAGTCTACCATTTCACATTCTCATTTTACTTTAAAAATTCTTCAAACGTTATTTATTCTCTGACATCTTCAAAAGTACTATCAACAAAATGAACACTAAATCCAACAATAGAAGTGATTGCTTTGGTGAGAAGGGACTGAGAATTCTTCCTCCAAACGCGGGAAAGCTCAAGTTTGAAGTTCAACTTCTAATGAGCGAGATAAAAAGACCTTTTCATTTGCAGAAGGGATTTGGCGGACAGAAACCCCATTTTCACTAGAGAGGGTGCAAACCACTGGCCCGCGGTTGAGGCAGAAACGCCAGTACATTCCCACCCTGGAAAGCAGCAAGATGCTCCCGGGCTTTCAGGAAACAGCCGTGGAAGGCAGGCCCGGCATCCTCAGCAGAGTTATCTCACGTCCGGGCCCGCAAGGTCCGCAGGTTCGTCATAAACACGCTAGGCAGAGTTAGAAGGGTGGCCGAGGGGACGAATCACACAACTATCAAACGAAGCCCACCTACCACCTGACTCGTCCCTAAAGCGACAGCCTTCCCGGCACGGATCACTCACCGGTTGCCTCAGGATCCCGACTACAACTCCCAGGAGGCCGCGCGATTGACGGAGCAGCGACCTTCCCAGAATGCAACAGAACGGGGACTCCATCCCTCCTCCTTTCTCTGCTCCTCCCACCATTCCACTCTGCGTCGTCCGGGAGAACCGGAGGTAGGGTGCGGGAGGGGACCTCTAGCCCTCGGCGTGCTTCGTCAGACGTTGGGAGGGGGACGGGGCGGGGAGCAGGGGGAGAATGGGAGGACGAAGGGGAGGGGAAAGGGGAGGGGAGGGTAAATAGTGGGCCAGGCAGGAAGATGGCGGCGGTAGCGGAGGTGTGAGTGGACCCGGGTTTCTGCAGCTGGATTTTCTCTTCCCTTCTTCTTTCCTTTTCCTTTTCTGTTTGAGGTTGGCATCGAAGAGGCTGAGTTCGGGTGGTGGCGCCGGGCGCAGCGCAGGGGTCACGGCAACGGCGGCGGCTGACGGCTGGAAGGGCAGGCTTCCTTCGCCGCTTGTCCTCCTTCCCCGGTCCGCTCGGTGTCAGGCGCGGCGACGGCGGCGCAGCGGCCAGACTTCGTCCCTCCTCCAGCTCCCCCCCAAGCCGGAGCGGGCATTCTTCCCTTCGCCATCCCCCGGCCCTTCACCCCGGGTACTGGGCGCTTCCTCCGGCGCAGCTCAGGGAGCGGGGGCCGGTCTCCTGATCGGCTGTCGCGCCTCCATGTCGGATAACCAGAGCTGGAACTCATCGGGCTCCGAGGAGGATCCGGAGACGGAGTCCGGGCCGCCTGTGGAGCGCTGCGGAGTCCTCAGCAAGGTGAGCAACCCGCGGGTCCGAAGGCCCCCTGCTCAGACTCCACCTGCCGCGAGGCGAGCAGCTGAGGGGATGGGGTGGGGTTGGACGGGAGTCACTGACTGTCCCGGGGCGGGGGCTGCGGAATGTGCCGGGGTGCGGGGCTGAGTACTGCCGCAGGAGTGCCAGGGTGGGGGTGGGGGGGGCGGGGGAGAGGGGGACTGTCCTGTTCGCTTGCCCTGGGGCTCGGCGGCGGTGGCGGCCGAAGACTGGAGAAAACGTGTCCCAGCCCCGGATTCAGTTTGGGAGTGGGATGCGCACCGTGACTTGGGACTCAGCGACATCTGTCCCGGTTGTAGGAATCCGGGTTGGGCAACAGCAGTGTGCGAACGACTGGGTATGGGAGCAGTGCAGATCAGAACTCTCAAACGAGGTTAGTCCGGAGATGCAGAGCAGGTTTGGAAGATTCTGTGGATGCGGTGGTGTAGACAGTAGCCGGAGCAACTGGGCATGGTGCGGAAATCTGAGGTGGTAAACTATGCCAAGTTAGATGTAGTGAGAGGTCTCAGCGAGGAGGACTTTTGTACTTTTTTTCTCATCCTTTTCCCCAGCTCAGAAAAGAGCTATTGAATCGGCACGTGATAGGTATGAGAAATACTCATAGTAACTTGGGACATGTCAGAATAGAAGCCGACCTTTAATCCAGGAAGAAGAGAACTATTAAAAAAAAAAAATCTTGCAAAGGGCCAGAATAAGGAAAACACATCTTATCTTTCCTGAAATTTTTAAAACCCTTTTTCAAAATTTTAGCAAAGCACATAGTTGTAGGTAACTAAGTAGATGAGGCCCTTTTTAGGAGAGAAGATGGATGATTTTTTTCTTTTGATAGTACATGGTTTGGGGCTTGTTTCTTCGTTTAAAGTTTTTGCTATGAGAAGACCCACATTGCCTTTTTTACTTCCTTCTCTCTTCCTGTTAAAGTTTTAGAAATGCCAGTCCCTCAGCAAAGCTGGTCATAAGATACAAGATCATGTGCAGCCACTGACTATTAAGAAACTACCCTGCTTCCATTAGACATAGTTTCGCTAAGCATTTGGACATTTATTGTGGAATTGTTTCATACTAGGTTTTTCTGTTATCTTTAGAAAGTGGTGAAAAAGGCTTTAGGTAAGACATGAATGTCAGAATTAAGACTTGGAAGTGTTAACTTTTATTTACGTGTCAGAAAAATCATGATGTGTCTTGATATTGTCATCATTGGAATTGCAGTGAAAGTCTTTCAGTAAAGTGAAGCTCCCTAGGGTTTCTTTAGATTGAATGTAGGTTGTAATTTAGTTATCTGTACTTAACACATTGTATAGTAGGTATACATTGTAAGGTTGAATTTCAGGTTTGTTCTTTGCTTCTGAATTCTGGTAGATTCATCACTTATCTCATTAAATGAAAGCTGACTTCCAAACTAGTATTCTGGTGGTGGTAAGTGTTTTACAGAACAGGCTGAACTTTCGATCTATTTGGTATTACTATTTTGGGGGCGTTGAGGGATGACTAGTGGAAAGAGTCCCCAATGCTCTGAGTATTCACTGTTTGCATAGCAGTATAGTAGGTACAGTATGACAAAAAATGAAGAACTATCTCCTTGATATTTAAATGTTGAGAAACATACTTTTGATCACTTCTATGGTAGGTAAATAACTTTGATATTGCTGCATATGTAGAATCAACAGGAATATAGTTTTTGGCATTTTTGTTAACGGCTATGATGGAAATTTCTCTGAAATTTAACAATGTATGATTATATATAATGATTTCTGGAAGCTTTTTAATCAAGAATATTTTATATTGAGGATGCCTGGGTGGCTCAGTCGGTTAAGCATCTGCATTTGGTCCAGGTTGTGATCCCAGTGTTCTGGGGGGGTCCAGTCCAGAGTCAGGCCCCAAGTCAGGTCCCCTGTTCAGTGGGGTGTCTGCCGCTGTTCCCTTTGCTTGTGTGAGTGTTCTCTCTCTCTCTCTGTTAAATGAATAAATAAAATATTTTTTAAAAGCATATTTTATATTGAGAACATGTTTTAAAATTTAAAGTACATATATATTTTGATCTGTTTGTATTCACCTGGTAATTTATGCAAGAGTTAGAACTCAGCAACTGTTTTTTTTTTTTCCCCTTTAATTGAGTAATGTAGATAAGTCTCAATACTAATGTGTTTTGTTTCTTCCCCTCCCAAATGGAATGAATTTGGAATGGGCGGAGGGCATAAACTTATATTAGAAATACACCAGTCCAAATTTTTTATTTTTCTGTGTGGTAATTTAAAATACATGGAAATACCTATGATGCATATTTTCTATGGAATCACTTTTTTTTTTTTTTTTTTTTTAAGATTTTGTTTTGTTTGAGAGAGAGAGGGAGAGAGAGAATGAACACGGGGCCAGGTTAGAGAGAGAGAGAGAGAAGCAGATTCTCCCCTGAGCAAGGAGTCTGATGCAGGGCTCAGTCCCAGGGCCGGGGAATCATGACCTGAGCCGAAGGCAGCTATCCCGCTGAGCTACTTTAGGTTTCACAAATACTGGATAGACAGTAATTCTAGGTGGTTATAACAAATATCAGGATGGATGTTGATGGGAAAAGATTCATGCCTTCCTTACTGGGACTTGAGAGAAACAGCCTGGATAAAATAAATGCCGTCAAGCTTCTTGTGAATTCTCTCCATCCTTCAAGGTTTACCTTGTCTATTTCTCCACATACCTAGCTGTTTGAAATTCTATCCCTCTTTAGAGGGTTTTTTTTAAAAGATTATGTTTGAGAGAGAGCACTAGACCACAAGCAGGGGGAGGGGCAGAGGGAGAAGCAGAAGCAGATCCCCTGCTGAGCGGGGAGAGCAGTGTCAGGGCTCTATCTCAGGACCCTGGGATTGTCACCTGAGCCGTAGACAGCTGCTTAACCAACCTCGGCACCCAGGAACCCCCATCGTTGGAGTTTATCTCAAACTCTATTCTTACCATGAAGCCTTTTCTTTTTTTGCCAGCCATTTCAGATCTCCTTCCCTTGAGTTCCCATAGTATTTTATGTGTAACTGGTTCTGACTCTTATTCTAAATGTATTGTTTTCCTCTTGAAATTTGCATGCTGGATTATTGGGAACAGAAACCTTTGATTCTTCTTCTGTGTGTAGCATATTGCCTTATCTCTGTTAGATTGGGAAGAGTGAGGGAAATGTTATGAGAAGCAAAAATCTGCCTTCTCGGAGAAGCTAACATTTACTAAGTAAAGGGTCTTGAAGCTTGTGTAATTTATTGGGTCCTCTATAAGAAAAACTTTAAAAATGGCGATACAATTGCTGGGACCCATTCTGTTACTGTGCAATAGGTCTGTTCTAGTGAACTGCACTGAAGGTTAAGCTTCATTAGTTCTGCATAACTCTGGTTCCAACTAAGAAAATACTGTGTGCCTGGCAGAGTTGTAAGTCTATTCTTGTTTCATCTTGACCACTTTAAGAGGTAGAGTTTGATAAAGAAACAGAGGATAAGTAACTTGACCACAGTCACATAGTTACCAGCCCTCTGAGGGGCAGTAATTAGAAGTGAGGTAAGATTAAGGTATGCCACTCTAAACAATTTGTATTACAGGCAATGGGAGTTGTCCATGTAAATTTTGGAGCTAGAGGTTCAGTGAGATTAATATGTAAGATAAGTAAGTCAGTGTGCTTAATAATTAAATAAGATTATGTAAGTTTTGAAAGAAAATGCAGAAGATATCTAGAGGTAAGGTTGTTAAGCCTTCTCAGGATCTGATAACCTGATAATTTGATTGGACTAATTGAAAATAGAGAAGAGCCAAATTTAGGGTTTAATATGAAGGAAAGATGACTAGGAGTTGATGACAGGCTATAAAGACTGACAAAAACAGTATCTCTTATGAATATAGTAGGGGTATTCATGATTTTTTTCAGCCATTCAAATAACAAGCAAATAAAGCTCGGAGAAGTTAAATAACTTGTCAAAACTCATTATATAACCAATAGGGTCTATCCGATTTTATATGCACTACCCTCTCCATACAATACAGGAACACTCAGCTGGGTTTGACTCTGAATGACTGCAGAAATACCACTATAGCAAAGGAAATAGAAACATAGGGAGGAAAGTGCACCTGACAGGAGGAGATAATTCAGTTTTGTATGTAACCATCATTGTTTCAAGTCAGTGTATGAGTGGTGGTAAGTCACATGGAGTTAGAAATAAGGAAATGGTGATTGGGGAGCTCATAGGAAAGAATGTGTTAAATTGCCAGCATGGATGAGCTCTCAGGGAGGGGTCGTAATGATGGGCCTTAGAAGATTTAAGAGCTGAACTGTCTCAA